GCCCAGTGCGAGAGGACTAAAGCGTAGTGATCGGATATTGTTCGTACAGAGTTGGACATGGTCTGGCAGATGTGCCGGGTGGCGGATGGGGGTCTGGGGAAGAGTTGCACGACGGTGGCGGCGACGAAGCCCAGGAGAACGGTGACGAGCCGTTTCCAGAATGCCTCGTAACCGCGGCCTGGCAGGCCGTATTGTTGGATGTGGCCGTCGTCGTAGCTGAAGCCGACGACTAGGACGAATGTGGCGCCGCTCATGATGGCTGCCATGGCTAGGGTCGGTGGGAGGAAGATCCGCCACCACATTAGTATCACTGTCATTGCTGCGGTGATTGCTCCTAGTCCGTAGGGGTTGCCGGGTCCGTGTCCGGAGCCGATGTACCATGCAACCATGCCTAGAACTCCGCCGACTATGGTGCCGACGAGGCGGGATACTAGTGACAGCGTGAAGTCGGACATGTAGACCAGAAGGGTGGTTTGTGCGGTGATGACCCCCCAGATGCCTTTCTCTCGGTAGAAGAACCCGGCGGTGTGGGGGAGGGAGGAGGGGATTGATGTTGCGATGGTCACCACTACCATGCGGAGAGCGTACATGCCGCCTGGGTTGAATAACCAGTGGTATATCGATATAATAATCCGTGTGGTGCGAGTGCGCTGTGGTGTGCCATATCCCCGGCTGATTCTTAGTCGACGATCCGCTTCCCGGGTTCGTTCCTCGAGGGCTTCCGGGTCCGTTGCTGTGTTTCCTGGAGCTGCTGACATTGGAGTGGGAACATTGCCAGTCCCTATCCAAGTCAAAGCATATTGTAACCGAGAAGGGATCCAAACTCTGGGTTTGGGGCGATTTTCTAACAGCCACAAGATGTGTTCGATGAGCTTCTGGGTTGCTTCAGCCATCGTTAATATGCGCTCTTCAATGACCATGCCGATGATGATGCCTCGTAGAATATGCACACCGCCCACGTCACCAGCGTTGAAATCACCCTGGTCATCAAAGATCTCTGCGTGACTGGTAATCAGTGCTTCGGTTGTTGCGGTGATACTGGATGCGCGGATTCCACGAAGCGTCTCCAACGCGTCTTTCACTCGCGAAGTCTGCTGGTCCATCTGTGCCTGCGAGGGTGCACGGACCCATCGCCGATTGTTAACTATGTTGATGGTCTCAACGCTGATATCTATTGCATGCGACATTGCTTGTAGAAGTGGCTGAGTGGAGTGCTTGAGTGCCTCAAGTGTACGTGCACGGATGGCTGTCTCTTCTGCATCCTGAAAGGCGTGTATCAGGTCGTTACTCTGCTGGATCTGATGGTGGCCAATAGCCTGTTTCTGCTTTTCTCGCCAATCGTTGTTGGATTGGGCCACATCGTGTTGTGCAAGGTTGGCTTTATTCTCCTCATCATGTATTCGTGCGATGTGGAAATTCAGCAAAGACAGCGAGGCGACCAGTGTTTTGCGTAAAGCCCGCTGTAGAGTCTTCAAGTCATCGGCACCCCAATGACCCCGAGACAGGTCGAGAGGAAGAAAGGCCAACAGTGGTTCGAGAGCCTTAAGCGCACCGATACCTTTGCTCTTTGTATCGATCAGATGCTGCAGACTTAATTCTTCGCCACTTAGGCGCGCTTCAGTACACTTCAGCGGCACCTGTCCCAAGCGAAGCAGCTGCTCCATCTTGGTTAGGACAGCATAAGAAGTGGACTGCGGAAAGAAAAGAAGGCAACAAGCCGTGCCCAGTCCTATGCCTATAGCACCAGGCTCGATCAAGACAGTGGGCAACAGGGCCGTAAAAGAAGGCAAAGTCGGTCCGAAAAGCAGAAACAGGTCAGTAATAATGATGCTGAACACCTGGGCCAGAGCAAATTTATTATTTGCGACCCGTACACGAGACATGGCATAGATGAACACACATGCCATGACATAAAAGACCACAGTCACACGAGCATCGAGCATGAATCCATCGTGGATCAGCTGCTGCGTTACGGTTGTAGGGTTTTGTCCAGATTGACTAGCTTGCGAAACCACTTCCTGCTGCAATTGCTGAAGACGAGCCTGAGTTTGAGAGGAAGGGCGCGCAGCCAAGGCGGCCTTCATTGTGAGTAGACCCCAAGCCCAACCCAGACACATTCCAGCGAGAAGGGTCAATGAGGCAAGCAGGTATACGAACAGAATGCCTGCTGGAGGGACAATATATAGCACGAGGGCACCGAAGAACGTGGCGATGCCGATGCTTTGTAGGGCAGGCCCGATGAAGATTAACAGTGTCGCAACCCATGCTGCAGTCCAACAGCGGAAAAGGACCTTTAAATCGCGTAGATTGAAATGGTCCAACCAGGCTGGCAACGCCCATCGAGCCCGTCCTGCCATACCCGCAGTAGCGGCAGGATTTGAGGATTCTCCCTGAGGGTTCATCTCGAGAGGGCCATCGCGTTTGAGATTATGGCCTAGCTGGAAGTCGGAAAGCAAGTTCCAGGAAAGTCAGGGTCAGCCCCATGCCGGATTCCATGGGATGACTGAAGTCTGGTTGCACTGGCCCGATACGACGTCATCTACGACTAGCATTCTATTCACCAAACGGTCAACAAAGCCAACTGGGGAAAACATATTGCTCCGCAAGGTAGCAAACGCATTCGCAACAGTGCTGATGAGATCATATATACCTGCGATGACCTCTCTCTACCATTGGTGGTAAAAGTAGTTGTGATCACAGCAAGGCGAAGGAACAGCACATGATAGCCATTTTGGGACAAAACATCACGTGCGTCTATTAGCCTTTGAGTCATGTTTGCATTATCGGCAAAGAGTGCAAAGAATGCAAATCGCAGAGCCAGAAAGGGAAATCAATGCCGATCAATTCCGGTTCGGGCGAGTATCTGTGTTCTTTCGGATGTTCAAGCCACGATTTGTACTAACGAACAAGTCTAGTATATTCAAAAGCAGGGGTCTGTAACATCTAAAATATCATCCAGCCTCGGACAGGGCCAGATACCAAACCTATTAATCTTAATCTTAAGCTAAATCATGTCTAGAAGATATTTCATCTCAATAAGAATACTGCTATCATTCCAGTCTTACGTGATTCTCTGCACTGGTTGTCTCTTGCTTACTTAAAAGATTATTAAGAATAAAATAAGTTTCAGCATGTCTAGAATATAATAATTCTTTTCATATACAGCTAAACTTATGTAGCAGTAAAATCTATTACTACTTCATATCTTCTCTTTACAGTATGATTCCTACATGCTTAATACAAATTATCACGAAGTAATTACCTTCTTCATTAGTTAGTGAGTATTCTGTTCAATTACAGGGCTTCCTCTTTTTTTTCCTCAGTAAGCCTTTGATGCTGGCATATTTGTTGTGTTGCTGTAAAAGATCCTCCAAGGATACCCTGTGGAGTCCTGCTAATGCTTATTATTATTAGTAAAAAAGCTAAAATCATTACAGTGTTTATATCATGATTACCTGATACTATTCTATTGTATCAGGTTATTGTATATAATATTGTACATGCAGTCCTCTGCTGTTATTAAGCAGCTTTGGAGTATGTGATGGTGACTGTACAAAGGTTTCCAACCGGAGCCGTATCTGATCACTGTCGGTGAATGCTATATGCTAGATCAGCTGGAGCCTGGCGAGTATATATCATCACTTTCTCTGTGTTGGGTTGCCTCGAAGACTTTATGCTTTAATCTATATTGTCGCAGCCACCAGTACCGTCCGTTAGTTGAAGGTGTGGTCCGAAGACCAACGACACCGCTGTCCTGTCAGTGCAACCCCTCCCCAATTTCGAGATCCGTCGCTTGGCGATTGTGCCTTTCACCGCATTGAGCAGGATCAGGATTTTGGGGTCTCTTGAATGCGTGCTGTGCTGTCAAATAGTATCAGAATTATCCTACGTTTACGAGACCCTGGCGGTTGATTGTCAATCTTCTTCTTAAGAGGACCCCGATTACCTGCCCTGTAATGAGCCCAGCATCCTATTTCCGCATACCCACCCCGAGGATGTCTTTAATATGTTGATATGCCTCTGTCATGCTGTCAGCCCCCATCATTGGTTGGCAATACACCTTACGATCGTCCATGAACACACACTCGAAGCAGTCGCCGTGCTGCTATTCTTCCTTCCACGCGTCGAGTGCACCGTCGGCATCCTCAAAAAATTCTGCAATTAGATCTGGGAAGCAATCCGTCCATAGATGCGGACCGTCGATCACGCAGATAGTCGGTTTTGATTGTTTGTGAGGCCAAGAGGTGAGCGAGAGCCGGATACTATAAGAAAATTAGGGGTGTTTCCCGGGACAAACCCAATCGATCCGGGAGGAATCCTGGATCCAGTTCGTTTTGTTGAAAGCATTCCTTGCTGGTTTCAAATATGGAGAGTATACTGGGTTCTTTGCAAGTATGCGACAAGATGTTTAAGGGCCACATTTGAATAGACTGTACTGGTTTATGAATTCATTGTTTTTTTGGCTCTAAGGTAACTTGTTCGCTTCCACGGACAACGAAGTCATCTATCTTCTGACCGTCCGACTACTCGGGTCCGAGAATCAAGCCCTAATTTATGCTGGGTTGCGGGCAGGCAAAATAGCCTGACTGCATATAGTTTGGCTGGTCCCCGGCTGGTCGCCGTTGAGTGTGCCACAAGGATCGACAATGTTACACTCAGTCCCTCGCCTGCCCATGCCTAAAACCATGGCCTCAATGTTACCTTCAACTATAGGCTTGAGTTGTGTGGAACCTTTTACGCAGGGCTGGCGCGTGGTGTCATCTTGCTTTTGAATCAACAAGACGGCCAACCTTCATGAAGCGTCATTTTGTCCTAGGCTGGAGCCTCTCGTTTTCGGGGTACACGCGCACTCTCACCGAAATCTCAATCCTAGCGGCCTTACTCATATCCTCAGCGAACAATAAAAGCCCACTTGCCACGGCTGAACGAGCTCCGGAAAATACTGTCTCCCAGCAGAAAAGAAGCCACGTTCAGGTATCAGGCCAGATGTCTTATACCCCATGGAATTGTCTCCACCAGACGACAGGAGACCGAACTTCCAGGCTGTCTCAGACGAGAGTATGTTAACCGACCAGAACGGCGGAGGTGAGACACCTGGGGCATGGGAGGTCGACAGCGCGGTCACAATCGAGCTTCCTGAGCATCTCAATGGCATGGATGGTAAGAGGGCTCTCATGTCGGAGCTTGGCGAGTATTATGTCCCGTTCTATGATGTCCCATTCTATGATGTCCCAATCCTGGTTGTCATTTACCCTCCTAACGGTGCTGATCTGTATCTTCAAGTCTTGAAACCAGAGTCCGGTGAGCTTATCTCCGTTGCGCTACCGAGCGATGTCCTACCAAATCTAAACTTCATATGCAACATAGTAGCTTCCTATCGTTTTCAATCCTCTGCACTATATACCTCTCGTCGACCTATCATGCAAATATTTAGCATGCTGGAAGCCCCTTCGCCACTCTTTGAAAAAACCGGTGTCATTCTTGATTTAACTGTCTAGTCTTGCTCATACCTGACAATTCGTTGAATTCTGCGCTGATTTCTTACGGGAATGCTCACATTGCCAGATTGATACAATTACTGGATCTTGCAACTCAATACTACGCGGAAGATGAAATAGGCGACATTTGTTTGTTACTAAAGTAGATGCCATTCCCCCTCTCACAGAGCTGCTCCTTGCGGAATAAAGATAATTCTTCAGGCTCTACTTCTATCAATCAATAGAAACCATGACAATATCCTTGGTACAGGCAACTTGCTGTTATAAGGCTCTTGAGGCTTTCCACCTCCAACGTGTTGACCCACCGAGAGTCCTCATCCAGCGACTTTGGGTAATCAGATAATGACGAAGAGCAACTGATTCGCAACATCGGCTATGGATATGCATCTGGCTTCTTACTCTACTGGGAAGCAGCTAACGATACATACCCCTGCACGGAACGTTGGGCAAGAAAAAAAAAAGAGGCATGGGCGGCAATCAACCTCGGATGGTAAACAACATGAACGTGAAAATGAATCCTCTTACTGATCAAAGAAGAGACATGGGAACACAGCCAGACCTCCCAGAATGACAACGGAACAAAAGGAGCGTCAGGCGCAGAAAGATTATTTGTGCTATTCGAACAGTTGCATGTCCCCCCATCATATCTTTTCGATAACCTCTTACGACTCCATTAATTCCCAAGTACCTCCTTGATCACATTGCACAATTTCGTTGATTATTCTTTACTTATCCAGACCAGTTGTACCAGGGTCGATTTCAGCTTGGGGAGATATTGTGGGATTTATGCAGCACGCCTTTGGAATAGACCTTCGAACAATAATCCCAATTTTGTGTTAATCTAAGTATTAGAAAGCTTTCTTATCTCTCTTCCAAGTATGAAGACTCATACTGTTCATATTTACACTTAGTCTTGACCTTACAGTTTCTACTTATTCCAGACCCCGTGCACATCTGAATTCAATCTGGCATACGTTGACTCATATTGACGTTGAACATGTACATCCTAAACATGATCTTAGAAAGAATTCAATTGCCCATGATATTCAAGTTCTTACGAAGTAATCATGTCTAAATGAACTTATGCACAAGCAGACGGTGATTGTTGCTATTATTTGCGTTTATGCCGATCTTTCTACTATATGAATCTTGTTCTGTTTATCGCCCAGAGCCGAAACCGCCATGCTGTGTGTCTTAGGGACGTAGCCGTCCCGGTGTGCCAGGCTCAAGCTGTAGGTCACAGCTATGATCCGGCTCGCCTCTAGTCGACTGCTGAGGTGGGGAAGTCCTCGTTGAGCTTCATAAATTCTCCTTTGGAAGGGTTAGTACCACCAGAGTTAGCCAGAAAAGACACCTGATGTTTGGCCGGCTGCACGCATTCAATGTGCGACCATCAAGAGTACTGGACTGGCCTCCGTGAGGCAAGCGAGGCTATTCGCTCTGGGGTGGTATCTACACGCATTCACATAGATAATATTGGTTTTTTCTCTAAAGTAAGAACTTAGATAAACTACTGCACAATACTAGGGGGCAATTGTCGACAGGGCTAATAAGTTATACTCGTATTCTTTGATCAAACCTTTGCCATCTTCTTTCTGCGAGTCATTTCTATAGAAAGTACGTTGGCCCACTGGGACGTACGGGCCATCGGCGAGGCAAATGCCGTCGATCAAGGACCAAGTCGTTAGATATACATTGATCAAGTTTTTAAGGATATATTCCAGCTCAGAAAGGGCAATCTTCGAATGCCACGGGTCACTGGCGTCCGTAATAGCTTAAAAGGTTGGGAGGGTGAAATCTGTGTTTTCCTGGGCTTGTCGGTTAGTCGGCACTGATAGTCGGATGTCTATCGCGCTCGAAAATTTGATTATTGGACAAGTGCTGCCAAGAGCTCATCCCACAAAAGCTGCAAGGAAGCCAGATAACATCGGTCGAGATAGAAGTACGGCATGAGGCGGGCACGGAGCTCCTTCCACGACGTGATCGCGTGCAGTTGCACCACCCGCGCGAGGGTCTGGACAAAAAACGTGCGTTCGCGGGCCAGAGCAGCATTGCAACTACAGGCGCCCATGACCAAAATCCACACCAGAAGATCCGGATAGGCGGAAAATGCTCCCGTGGCTAGAACTCCTTCCAGGGCTGTGCGCAAGGCAATGATGGGCTGTGGGAAGACGCCAGCATTGGCGGGGTAGAACGCCCAGATGCTGCTGTTGTGGAAGAGGAGGCAGGCGAGCCGTATGCATCCTTCGATCGATGCATCTTCTTTGACAGTCCCGGTCTGGCTATAACGGTCGCTGAGGAGCATGTATTCAATATACAAGACCTCCCCGTTAAAATAATCTTCGGTCTGTTCGTCGTAGTTCTGGTAATCAGCGGCCCGGATCGCCTCGGCATACCAGGTGAGCTGCACCAGATCAAAGATGATCTCGGAGAGTTGCGGCCCAATTAACGCATCAGGCAATTGTGACGGTTGTAGTAAAGACGACGCGAGAAGGGCGAGTTGAGTAGTGGGTGGCAAGATAGGATATCCTTGAGGGCGAGTATTGCGGACCGGGGGAAATATGGGTTTGGTATAGGCCATGCATGCGACGCGTATATCTGTCCTAGAAACAGCGGATTAATCTTTGCTCTGGGAGTGAAAGGGCTACTACATCAAGGAGCATACGTACCATGAAATTTGATATCGTACGGGATATGGAACGTCTACGAAACTTTTGCGCAGTGCGACCATTTGTCGTAGCCCAGCTAGGTGCATCTTCAGATAGGCGGGGGTACCCGTGGCAATCTGTAGAGAGTGAGACTTGATTCCTTCTAGGAGGGCAAAAGCTAAAGGCACACAAGGGGATGAAAAGAGATTTTCGTACCTCGATCGTTAGCAGCATGGATACAGACGCAATCAAACCATCACTGGCTGCCCTGAGAGGGTCCGAGAGACCACTATTGACCAGCCGGATTGTTTCTCCCCGGTGATGAAAGGTGTCGAGCAGCAGAGGACTTAATCGTATGTTGCTGGAACTCTTGAGGGGCAGTTCACTAGTTCGTAAGGCTACATCCGAGGAAGCAACACAGATACAGGCATGAAGACAGGCCTCATTGTTTTGGATCAATTCACCCCAATGTCTTTTGATCGTGTCGAGCCGGCGGTTCTGGAACGGGACGCCGTCTTGGGAAAGGTCCACTAAGACTAGACTGGACGATCAGTATTCGTCATTCAAGATACAGAAATCAGAGAACAATGCTGCAACTTAACTCACAATGCTGTAGATGCCGCATCATGCGATCGGTAAGAGGAGTATGAGAGGTATTGAACGGATCTATGGCCGATTGTAGCCCCATGCTCCGGGGAATGGGGGACGACACCGAACAAATTACTACATCTTCCTGGCCTTGGCGGTCAGTTGAGTGCTCTCGCATACATGCTTGAGCTGCATGAAGCTCAGCCTTGGGCCGGACCTGGACCTGGGCAGATTCGTGATCGGTCTCCGGGGGTTGGAAAGCTACACGTCTCCATGATCGACATTTATGTGATTTTGTGCTAGTTATTCTTTTTTTCCGATTATGCTCTGACATGACATGGGAGCGGATACGTTTCAGGTCCTCGGGCTTGGTGCCATTAGAAATAGATTTTGGACTTGTATGGACCCAGAAAAGAGATGGCCGACCTGCAACAGCGCTGGTTGCCTTGTGTGGTCCGGGTGTTCTCTCAGTGTCGGGTTTGACCACTGCGGCCGCCGACCGAGACAAAGTCGGCCATTGTTTAGATACTGTGATCGGCTCTGTATCATCCCTGCGAAGAGGGGGGTTAGGAGCTGTGCTGTTGGTGCTGCTGCTCGAAATATTATAAGGGCCCGGCCCTTGGGGGTCTGATGAAGTTCTCAACGCATCAGTCCGGGTCGTCCCAGGAGGAAACAGATTCATATGGTCAAATGAATTCATCCCGACATCCAGATCCTGTGAAGATCCATGCCATTAATCATTTCAGCAAAAGTGGCATCGAGTAGTCCCCAAATCGAGAAGCTTGATGGGGAGAAGGAAAAGGGGGCAGAGCGGGGCCCAAAATTCTCATATATAAACAAACAAATGATCAAACCAGCTTGATTAGGCCAGGGATAATTACAGCCCAAAAAAAGAGAAAGAAAAATAGAAAAAAAACCTGATGCAAAAGCCAACGCCACCGAAAAAACGAATAGGCCTTCGAAAGGAGAGGGGGGGTTGTTGGCGAGCCGAAGGGGAAAGAAAACCCGAGGCGTTGGACGAAAAAGGGATTACCGGACAAAGCAATAGTAATTAAATAACTAATGGCAAGCAATGAGATTTTAAAGCGGTGCACTGGCCCTCCATCGTCAAGGTCAAGCTCTGGTGCAAGACCCACTGCAAATCGGAGATCGAGAAAAGCGCCTGTTAGGTGTGGAGTTAGAGAGAGCACGCATAATGGCAGCTTGCTCGGTATCACACCTAAACGCGCTATCCTCGGTGTGCTCCGCTGTGGGTAGTACTGGGTGGTTTAGCGGAACTCTGTGAGTCGCTACTGGTCAAACCAACTTCAGTGGGTCATACAAAGCGACGTGATGTCTGTGCGCACAGAAGCTCCCAGAGCCTTGATTGACTGTTGCCTAAAAAAAAAAAAAAAAAAGAAAAAAAGAAAAAAACAAGCTATGATACATAGTAGTACCTAAGAATCCACAGGCGGAGTTAAGTTTACGAGTTGTCCGTTCCACCGCTCCCAAGCTTCTTCGGGAAGGGGCCATGAGAATAGCGAAAAACTCAGCACGCGGCTTTTATAGTCAAATCCATCTTGGCTCGCTTGGGTTTCGGGACATGCAAGGGCGCAGCATTCTTCCAGGCCTCGTGCGCGTGTATATACGGACTTACCACACTAGGAAGTTGACCGACTCCCAATCGCGGCCGTATAATGGCTTATACAAACGTTCGGACAATTGTGTCTCGCTTCGCAAAATACTACTCGGGATCGTAGAAGTGATGCGATACCATCATCAGAAACAGGTAGTGCAATCTGTTGATATCCCATCGATCGCCCATTGAATATTGTCCAAGCGATCATTGCCCAAGAGCTGACGGATCTCATCTATGACTCTAATGCCAAATGTTCCCATCCACCACTGTGACCGTAAGTGATATAGAACCACGCAATAGTGGGCCATGATTGTCAATGCCATAGGCTGATGGTCCAGAACCAAATCCACAAATACTGCTGGAACCTCCAGCAGCCAGGAGAGTCCAATCAGCCCGGGGCGGCTGCCCCACGCAATATAACGCAGACAGGACGCCAATCGATCGATGGCTTTGATGTAAATCTCTCGGACTTTGGGGTCTTTGTTCCCCGTGCTATCCTCATTATTAAGCTTTCGCAGAGCATGAATGGCCAGGGTGGAAGTATTTGGCATGTTGGGACCGCTCCCCTGGCGGACTAGGAAAGCCAGCTCCTCGCTTGGTTGGAGTTCATCGATCAGGCGAATGAGAATCTCCGGCGAGCCGCGTAGGTGGCTGACAGTTTGACAAAGATCTACCAACGCGGATCCGCTTGAGCATAAGGGCGTTCGTACGTGCGCGAAGGAGATGATGATAAGCATATTGCATATAGCAAGCAATGACATGCTTTCTTTGCGAGACAGTTCCGATTTCGCCTGGTTGATCTGTTGTTCAAGCCCGGCGCGAGCTTGATCCCAATGAAGAATAGCTAGACACTGGAATTGCTGGTGATCGTGTTGATTTTCCTGTATGCCGTCCCTTTCGCGAGAATAGATAATATCCAATGCTGCCAGCGCTAGGATGCTATCCAGTAGTGGTGCGTTGCCCATTGCCTCCCGGACAATTGTGCTTCTCCAGATTTGGCCGTTTTTACCATCGGGGGTGAGAGATTGGTAGGTTCTGGCACACCAGCGAGATAAGAGGGTCAAATCGCTCGGCTTCAGAGAACGGATCTTAGGCTCCTCACTAGGCTGATCAGCGTGGCCTATGACCGGCTTTGCAGGTGATGACCCCGGTCGCCAGGATTCCGAGTTCCATGTATCCGGCTGTGAGGCAGGCAAGGAAAAGATGGAGGGTTGTGGATGCAAAATATGATCGGCTTGGCCGGAAACCAAGGAAGATTGGGATGTTGGGTTATGCCGGATGTTCTGTTTCCAACGTCGTTCCATTTGTTAGAAAACGGCAACCAACAAAAGGAGGAGAGTAATAGCGTACCAGCCGTTCGCTAGTATGAAATAACTGGTGTGCATTGATGAGTACCTTCTTGTTTCCCAGCAAGTCTAACATGCTGCCCCGAGATGAAATCGAACCAGAATGAAGTTGTAGTTTAAGACCATGAAAAGTGGAACAATGATGACAGTGCTGACGAGACACGAGATGAATATAAAAGGCAGAAGGTAGGTATTCATTCAGTTGCAGGTCGATAATGTGTCTGGATGTCAGATGACGATGATCCCCCGGCTAACTCAAAGCAGTAAATGTAGAAGCAGGACCTAGATAATTTATTCTTTATCTATCAGGCCACTTATTATATAAACATTGATGAAGGTGTGGTGGGAACCGACCTATTGAAAACCGTCACAACCGCGAAATACGCTTCCGTACAATACCGGTCGTTGTGGGGACCTTCCTTTCCCGGCTCACTTGTATTATCCTCCATAGTCCAAGGCCCTCGGCCGAAACCATTTGGTATGACCATATGCATGAATAAAATTGCAGCCACCCTTGGCTATTTTCTCCAGAGAAGTCTGCGCTTTCTCGACGACAAGATGTCAAACTACACAGAGATTATCCCTCCTGCGTATTTCCTACCCGGGGTTTGTCTTACAGTGGCTAGCCTCCTGTTATTGAGCTTGGTCCAGAATGCAATCCACAATCTCCCATACCACCGTATTCCTGCTGTTGGGACAAGTCGATGGCCTTTACTGGACTGGCAATCTAGTCTGCGCTTTATGTCCTCGGCCAGGGCTCTAATTCGTGAAGGCTTCGAACAGGTATGGCCTTCTACGGAATATGAGAGCTGTAGACTGATATTGTGGGATACGACCTGGTTAGGGCTACACAATATTCCAGGCCATTTTCCCCCACGGGCCGATGTTGATACTTCATCCAAAGTATGTGAATGAAGTTAGAAGGCATCCTTCTCTCAGTCTAGAGGAAGCAGTCAAGAAGGTAGTTTGTGCAGCAAATGGGTTCCCGAGAAACCTCTGACGCCAGATGCTAGTCGCTCCCAGTCGGGGATTATCCAGGCTTTGAGGCTTTTCGGGGCACAGAGAACCACCATATTTTGTTGGATGTGATCAACCAGAAGATAACCCGGAATCTGAGTATAAGACACCCAAAGTCCCTTTCCATGGCCACGGCTAAATTGCTTTATAGAACAATACACAATTCCTCTGGCCAAAGAAACGGCTTTAACCCTGGAAGAGCATTTTGGCCAACCCACAGGTTGGTAACCCCTCCACACCATGCAGTAGTCGCCCAGACTGACAAGCTAACATTTGACCATTGTAGAATGGAAACCCTATTGTTTTGCTAGCGAAGTCCCCTACATCGTCGCGCGTCTATCGACCCTTGTCTTCCTAGGAGAGGAAGTGTGCCGCAACGCGGAATGGCTTGATATATCGGTAAACTATACCTTGGACATCTTCGGAGCAATAAACGCACTAAGGAAATGGCCACCTATTCTACGACCTGTCATTCACTGGTTTCTAGCGCCTGCTAGGAAGCTAAGGCAGCGTGTACAAGTAGCACGGCGGATCATCCAGCAGGAAATGGAGAGGCGGCAAGAGGAGCCCAAGGGCAGGGAGCCGGATGCGCTGGACTGGCTTCACGAAGTCGCAGCCGGTCGCCCCTTGGATGTAACTACAGCGCAGATAGGTTTGACACTGGTGACAATCCACACCACATCTAACCTCCTTACCAATGTCATTTACGACCTGGCAGCGAACCCGGAGTATATCCCGTTTCTGCGTGAGGAAATCCAATCGGTATTGGAGGCCGACGGTACCTTTCACAAAACCAGTTTGACGAAGTTGAAGCTTTTGGATAGCGTGGTAAAAGAAAGTCAAAGATTGAATCCTCCGGGCCTGAGTGCGTAACCCCTGGCTTGGTACATTGCTCGTTACAAGTCTCGACCCTGTCGCGCTCAGTAAGATTGAAACTAACTATTACTATTTTTTTTGATCATTCAGCTTCACTGCACCGATATGCCATGGAGGAGATCACCCTCTCGGACGGAAAAGTAATTCCAAAGGGTGCAAGTCTCGTTGTCTCCGCCCATACTATGCAAGATGAGAGCATTTATCCGAATCCGCATACTTACGACGGGTACCGGTTTTATCGGAAGCGGCAAGAGCCAGGTCAGGGAAATAAACACCAGTTGGTGATGACAAGTGCAGAGCATTATGGTTTTGGACATGGTATACGCGCCTGTCCAGGTCGGTTCTTCGCAGCCAATGAGATCAAAATTCTTCTCGCACACATTATCATGAAATACGACATCCGCTTCCCCGATGGACAATCGCGCCCTGCCAATTGGGAGATTGGACAGGACTTGATTTGTGATCAAACTGCGCAAGTCTTATTCAAGGCACGGTAGCCTGTATTTTGTTTCTGCTTTCTCTTTGCTTTTCTCTTTTCTGTCTTCTTCATGTTTGTTTTCTTTCTTTTCTCTTTCAGGACCTCGCAACTAAGTGTGTTTTACAACTAAATCAGAAAGCAAAGTTAGCCTGATGTAGCCGGTGAAAATATTGGAAAAATCTTCAGGGCTAAAGGCGTGAAGTGAGTCAATCGTGCTCCATGAAAGTTTAAGGACCTATTTACTAAATTACTAAAGCAACGTCTTTCCGTGCAGCGAGCTAAGAAAGGAGCTGTTGATAAAGGAACTACGGCTCGGGATGGCCTTCAGTCGCTGTTCCTAAAATAGTAATAGATGTGGGCAGCTGCTCTACGGGGAAAGAATGACTGTTAACCTTTCCTGTATACTAAGAAATTTATATTAAATTTCATCGCATCATGAAGCCATGATAGTTGCGCCAAGGCAGGTGATCATCTATACCTTAAACATCGCAAACACTATGTGGATTTGATATATCTCTTTTCCGTCTTGTTGTGTACCATTAGAGTACTAGAAGTCCAGAATGTTTGGCACCATAATGCAAAAACCGTTTGCTTATATGCCTAGTTTGTTCAAGAGGTCACCCCTTTGTGTATGGCCCCTGGCCATCCTCCTCCTTGTCCCTGGTATTTTGATCGCCATTGTCGTTAGGAATCATAACTGAGTCTTCTTCTCTTTGGATACTTGATTTGGCTCCGTTAAGACCAATTCCGGTGACGATTAAAAGTCGCATGATGGTGATAGGTGCAGAGGTCCAGAACATAAGATGATCTTCCATGGACCAGATATGAATATCAAGCCAGATAGCCCAGCCTCCAACAGCCTGTGCCACTGAATGGCACCAGGCCAGGTCACTGAGTAGCATAGCGGCGCAAAGAAAGCGCCACAGATGCTCATCATCGAAGGCGCGTAAAACAACTGCCTCCACGAATGCAAAATACAGCCACGCACCGCCCAGCTCTGTGTGTAGGAATTCCATTTCTGGTAAAAAGGACACCTCGCCACGGGTCATGCTGCTCATATAGACGGTTGGATAGAGCAGCGACTGCAGGGCACCACAGAGGGCTATCATAGGCTCTATCGTTGTTAGAACCAGGCGGTAGAGGTAGGGTATGGACGTTGGACCAGGGACGAGCAATGGAAGCCACATCGCGGGGAATGAACGAGTCGAATGGAATCTTGAAGGTAGCCCAGGAAGGAAGAGGTTTGGCGATATGAGATCTGGGAACGAAAGGAGGGAAGTTGGGGTTGAGGGGTGCACTAATCTCCAGTGGTCAACTCTATAACAGCGATGAGATGCGAGATTTCACCCGTACCTGGTGCTGATGAAGCCTACAACTCTTCTATATACTCGGTTACGATGAGAGGAAGACTTTTGGAACTAGGATTAGACAGCGGATTACATTAGTGGACACCAGCACACCGTTGACACCCATCGGTATCCTCTGCAAGCACCGACTCGTGGCTCATGACAGAGTGGTATATACCTTAGTTGCGTTTTGCTCGTTTCCCGGCTCATCCTCGGGCTGGTAATTTACCGAAGGATCGGTATATTACGTAGGACATCTGAAGCTGTTCCCGGTGGATTTTAAAGTCCAATTAAAATTCGGGAATGTGGCGTTCGTGAGATTTAATATCTCCTCCATTCCTTCATTACATACAGTACGCAACAACACGATACGGGTGTGGAACCACATATCCGAGAGACCGACGCCACGCTACCTACCAACCACTAACTTAACAAGGCTAAGCTTTGGATAACGCGCGTTTTCGGTTTGAGCCGGATCCGCAATCAACCAATCCAAGATTCCGTTCTCCGATACCCCAGCCAATGGAGTGCCTCGGCCTCGGCCAGAACCATCAAAATGAATTCGAAAAGATAGTTGCCCTAAAGAGGACCAAATCCTCCCCCACCCCTCTTCCTCATGCACCTTTGTTTTGCAAAGCGCGGTGGTTCATTCATTTGTTTTCGGCTAACTTCGATCCAATGACTGCGAGCTGGAGCGGGCCACTCTTCGCAAGGAGATTGTACGAGAAATAATACGAGTCCGCGAGACTCAGGAAAGGTGGTCATTGTGGATTTGACTGGTGTGCCAATCTATGAGATACCAATCATGGCCTAAAGATAGGGGGATTAGTCCGACCACCTTGCTACACCCACCTCCTTCCACGAAATACCTCCTCCACCCGCCGGAAGAAAACAAAAAGAGACTTAGGGAGTCGTTGACTTCTGGTAGGTGATAGTTAGCCCAACAAGAACTTTATATAGCCCATTGGCCTTTCATGAGAACATTCGTTGCCCATGATCACAATCATTTGTTGTTTGTTTTTGGCGTGAAGCAAATATTCTTATCGAGGTTAAATCGGCCTCCTTGGTTGACTTCGGATGCTATGCCGCTCGTAAACTCAGTCATCTGTGTGGCCTTGATTACTGGCATAGTAGTTATTTTGTCCCATTGTGCCTTCAAGCCTCAGGACAACAAAGCGCCGGTAACCAGAGGTCAAAACAATCCCCCTCCTGAGCTTCCTTTGTCTGTTGCCCAGATCATACATTCCTTTTTCACAGCGCCGTTCGACTTTATATCAGAAGGTTTTAAGGTAACCGGTTCTAATACCTTTCGATTTCGACTACGGAATAATGAAGTCATTGCGGTATCGGGTGATGAGGCAAGACGGACGTTCTTTGGGGCCAAAGATTTGAATCTCTATGCAGGTTTTCAAGTACTAATTGGTACTGTACGTAACCCTACTTCGCATCTGACACAATCAAACTTTACAATACTATCATCACTGACCTCTTTTTCTCTGTCTGTAGATACCTACCGGTCTCAATCCTCAGGCCCTTCATGGTATATACAAGCGATTAAATGGACTTCAGCGACCCGACAACCTCCAAAACTGTATGTTTTGATTTCACAAGGACTTTGGATAAATAATGTATATCATCATGTCTGACCAGCTTATTTCGCTGCAGTACTTCCGCAATTGATCGAGGACTGTCATCAAAAGATGCATTCATGGGACAAACTCGTAATAGATCCATGCGCCACTTTACATGATGTACATTTACTACATGCGAAACTGTCTATTCCCTCCATTAATCCCTCTTTTAGGTTACTTTCCAGATGATCATCCGTGCCGTTACTTGCCAAGATGTTGCGGAAGATACGAAGCTTGTATCCCGCTTGAAATACCTTTATGATATTATTGATGCATCAGTCAAGCCCTTGCGCTCCTTTGCTTGGGTACCTGGTCTTGCAACTTTCAACAAGATGTGTGCATCTATGTATGTCTATTGGACGTTCAAGCAAGCTGTCCAGAAACGGGTCAACAGTGGCGTGCGAAGAAACGACACTCTTCAGCAGCTCCTTGACTCTGGGGAAAGTTCCCAATGTATTGTCGGGGTAAGTAATCGATAATGTCTTAATAGCGTCTTAATAGCTGGGTAATGGTGGCTGACCAGTTGTGATAGTTTATGATGGGACTGCCTATCGCTGGGGCGCGATCCACAGGAACAATTGGTAAGCTATAGCCTTGGCATACTTCCTACGATCCGTCGCCTGCGACACATCGATCACCTTAACAAATAGTAACGAGCTAAATCTTTCTCCGAACCACAGGCACATGGCTTCTTCTATACCTCGCCTCTGAACCAACTTGGTTCAGAGCCGTACGCAACGAGATTGAAGGCCTGACTACAATGTACGGAGTAATGTCAAGCTCGTCGGAGGAAGATATAATGGGGATGTTATCGGCCATCCCCCTTGCCGAGTGGGAGTCCAAAACCCCGCAGCTGGATCTCTGCATTCGTGAAACACTCCGGAGAGCTCAGCCACATACGGCGGTACGGCGCAACATTGGACCTGACCTGCCAATTGGTGCTTATACAATCCCATCCGATGCCTTCGTCCTATATCCGTTCTCTGATGCGGCGCTGAATCCCACCCTTTATCCAGACCCATTGCGCTGGGATCCCGGCCGCACAGTTGTCGACAAGGACGCATTCATCGGGTGGGGGGGCGGCACGCACTTATGCAAAGGCCAGCGTCTGGCCAATTTGACCTTGAAGATCATAGTGGCCTACACTTTGATGAATTATGACATCGATCTGGTCAACAATAATGGCGACGTAGTCACTAGCCCCCCCGTTCCAGACTGGAATGACTACTTAACATGTCGGCCTAAAGGCGATTGCACGCTTTGTTTTACAAAGTGCAGACAGTCAACCTATAAGTTATAATTGTTGTATCATTATATTTGTTGATAGCATAATATGCTGCAGATCCCGAACATCTGGTGTAAAGCCTCAGTCTGAATATATCTAGTTTGACTAAGCTAACTCTATGTTAACTAACTATAACCCGTAGCGTTCCTGAAAATATATATTATTATTACTGAGGTTTTGTTATGCCAGATATTTATGATTTCTCATCTCTCGAATAGGTTTATATATGTAGAGGGATAAATTGTTATTACTTATATATGGCTAGGAAATATGTATGGCCAAGTAACTTCAAACTAATTTGTGATTGTTATCTATTATGTAATAAACCGTATTTTTTGGCTTGTGGGAAAAAGAAAACTTTCTATCCAAGTGGTATACTTCGCTCAACGACTGAACAACGAACGGGCTAGCCGAACAAGTAATTGACATTCGCAGGATTCACATCAACGGGCCGTAATCCGCAAGATTGCCAGGACTGTTATAAGTTCAAATACCTCGACCATGGTGCTGCTATCCTTTCATATGGTTTGGCAGCCAACCGGTTTTGCCGGTGGTTTCCTGGCGTCACGTGCTGCTGCTCATCTCCCATTTATCAAATGACAGTTTGATTTAATTTTTTAATAAAATTGGAATAAATAAATTGTTGGTTCCGTCAGCCGCCAGTTCCCCGTGGAGAGCTGTTCAGCAACGAAAGACTATGTCCACATGTATTGAGTACTCCCTATCCTCTGCTGGACAAGTACAGTTGCCACAGGTATAGTCCCTCCAGGACATAGAAAGGTTTCCACGCAGCTGGCAAGGCAGATTATCCAGGAATATAATATATATATATAAGTAAAATATACTCTGTAAAGCTTCTGCTCTTTTCTACTATAAATTTAGGTACTTCTAGATCTATTTATATCTACCTGATCTTATAACACTAATAGTTTTTTTTCCCCACATCATTGTATGATTGAGGCATCTACTGGAGTAGATGTAGTCATGTGCCTGGTACTCAGGTCGCCCACGAATAACCTCTTGCTTTGTTTTGCTGGAGTACCTAGATAAGCTACGAATTCAACTCACTCTTTTGCTGCAATTTGCGTTCGTTCGCTTGTTTTTTTCTTGTTGTTTCGTTGCTTTGCTAGTAATTTCGCGCCTCAACAAGTTAAAATGTTATATTCATAAGAAATATTTATTTACAGGTCTACCCTGCGCTCAAGTTACAGCAACTCCACAAATCAAGTCGTTACCACGCGATCTTCGCAACAGGTCCCCGTGGAAACACGCGGACCAACACCTTTCGCAACTCATCCATGACCAGGACGCCAATCGCCAGACCCAATGGAATGAACCAATATTCCAACGGAATGGAAGCAGTATTGAATAGTGACTGCAGACCAGGCACCTCCGTCACAAAAATCGCAATCACCAAGGACATGAGCATAGCCAGAGGCAGCCATGGATTACGACGTTTTGCGCGAATGGGATCGGCCTGCAGGATGGACATGCGCTTGCTCCGGACGGAGAGGATATTGCCCCATTGCATGATGACCAACGTGACGAAATACACGCTCTGTCCGACATAGTTAAAGTGCGTTAGCTCGGCCTCTGTGTAGCCGTAGAAGCCGTCGGAGTATTTCTCGAATGCGAATACCAGGGCGTGGAAAGGGATGCCGGCTTTCTTGTACATGTACAGGAAGAACATGATATGGGCACAAAAGGCTTCCATAACTCCGACGAATAGGTAGGACTGTCCGTAGATACGGAGGTTGATGAGGTGGTCCGTCTTATGGTTGCGAGGTGGGAGGCTGAGCAGGTCGAACTCTTCCTTCTCCATGATGAGCGACAGCGACAAAAACAGATCTGTGAACACACAGATGATGATCATCAGGAAGGAGCTCAGCGGCAACGGTACGCCGAAGAAGACGTTCATGATCACTGGCCAAATCTCAGACCAACTGCCTGCCGGAAGCAGATAAGCGATGACCTTCTGGAGGTTCTGGAAGACCAGCCGGCCCAGGCGGATCGCCTCCACAATGGAATCGAACTTATCCAACAAAACTAGGTCCGCCGCTTCGATGGCAACATCACTGCCTGAGACAATGGCGATTCCAACATCAGCTGCACGCAAGGCGGGAGCATCATTGACACCGTCGCCTGTCACGGCCACCACACTGTCTCGAGACTTAAGCTCCTCGACGATGCGCAGCTTTTGCTCCGGAGTGGTACGGGCAAAGACTATCTCCTCATACTGGCAGATTGAATTCCATTGGTCTTCGTTAAGAGTCGAGATCTGCGACCCTTCCACGAGCAGACTACGTCTCGATCTTCCCTCATCCTTCTCAGCTGGCGCTGCGACTGCGGATGACACCAGGTCCGCGACGGTATCCGGCTCAGCAGTTCCGGTAAAGATACCGATGTCTCGTGCAATTGCCGCAGCAGTCAGACCAAAATCACCGGTCACCATGAAGAAGCGAATGCCAGCGCGTCGACATGCCGCCACCGTTTCAGGAATCTCCGGACGGGGAGGGTCGATGATACCAAATATGCCGATAATTGTCAAGTCCTGCACGCCATTGGCTAGCAGCTCATCGTTGAAATGGTTTGTTCCCAGCGCAGCAGTCGGTGCATATTCCCGCTGGCAAAGAACAATAACTCGCTGGGCGCGGCGGGAGAGCTTTTGTTGGAATGCAGTAAACATGTCCTTCGCAGCAGCATCCAGAGGCTTGGCCACACCGTCTTTGGACCAGTACGAAGTACACTTGGGCAAAAGAACATCTGGGGCTCCTTTGACATAGATGAGGCTGTGGGTCGAGGAGGACGGATTTTGGTGGACAGTAAGCATCCACTTGTTTTTCGAGTTGAACGGTATTTGATGGGTGCGTTGGTAATAATGAAGGTCGGTGTGTCCAGCTGCTCCGAGCATCTCAGCCAAACGTAAAACGGCCGCGTCGGTCGCATTGCCATTTACGACGCGTTCAGGAATTGGCAAGGCCAATGTTTCTCGGTCAAAGAAGGCATCGTTACAGAGCTTGGAGCCTCGCAGGAGGGGCTCAAGAGGCTCTGGAAGGGGAATCGACTTCTGCTGTGCGGTCACCAGATCCTCAACCAAGAATTCCTGGTCCACGAGGCCCACCGACTGCACAAACATCTTATTCTGGGTCAATGTCCCGGTTTTGTCTGAGCAGATCACGTTGACGCAGCCAAGGGTTTCCACTGTCGCCAGTCCCTTGGGCAGGATGTTGTTTGCCTTCATCCTCTTTGCGACGATCATTAAGGTGAGGGCAACGCCGACCGGCATACCCTCGGGAATGAAGGCGACTACGCAGCCCATAACATCGTTCAACATCTCAACAACGCTCATGTATTGTGGGTGGTCAACGCGCAGCCAGCCCACCCAGCTGAAAAGGATGGCTGCCGCTAGGATGACGGTCAGCACCACAATGATCCGTACGAAGCGCGTGATCTCCTTCTGGATGAGCGTTGGCTTCTCCTTCACGTCTGCTGTAATGGACGCCAAGCGACCCATGACGGAGCGACTCCCAGTCAGGACAACAACACCAACAGCATTGCCATTGGTGACACCGGTGCCCATGAAGGCGATATTGCGCGTCTCAAGGAAGTTTTGGTCGGTTGCGTCGGTGGCACCCTCGACTTCATCGGACTCTCCCGTCAGAATGGACCGATCGAATCGAACATCCCCCGAGCTTTTGATGATGCGCATGTCAGCCGGCACCTTGTTGCCAATGGAGATATGAACGACATCTCCCGCAACAAGGTCAGAAGCTGGCAGCTTAATCAAGTTACCTTCGCGGAGAACAAGAGCCTCCGCAGGCAGGAGGCCCAGGATCGATTTCATCACGCGCGATGTCGACCAATCTTGGAAGGCGGAGAACGATGCTTGCAGGATGATGACGATGATGACCAGGATGGCCATGGCCAGGTTTGTCACTGAGGGAGGATTGCTGAGCGGTTTCCAGCATATGAAGAAGATAATCACGCCGATCCAGAGGACCGAGCAGAAGCCACCAAAAACATAGCCAAGGATCTTCTTCACATAATTCTCCCCATGGTGTGCGATGATGTTCTTCCCGTCGCGTTGAAGACGAGTAGCTGCCGCGTCAGTACTCAAACCACGGCCTGCGTCGACATTGAACTGCTGGCACAACCGGTCGATAGCAAGTACATGGAAGTTCAGACTTTCGAAATAGTCCTGATCTGGTTTTTTCTCTTCCTTTCCTCGCTCTTTCAGCACATGTTCTGGGGCTGCCTGGGATTCGGAGATTTGAAATGAAAGGGTACGGAATTCGATTGGGATTCCAGCTGCCGTTGGGGACTGGGGAATACTGCGAGTGCTGCGAATGGTATCTCGACTGCGGGAACGTTTGTCGCCAGGGGAGTATATAGACCGAGTGCCGTCTTGTACATTGGGACTGTGGAAGGTGATTCGCTGGGATCGGGCAGTGCTTCGCACCTGGTCATTGGGGGTCTCTTCATCGGCTTCCAGGTCCAGGGTGGATGAAGAATCGGCTGGCTGGTCCGCAGACACAGCAGCGGTGGGAGTGGTCATGATGATGCAGAACAAAAATGAGACAGGTCACTCTCGGATGACACTCTCGATAATGTGCAGTGATGCACTGGATGTAGTTCGACTGTGCGATGCGAATGTCAAAGATAGGTTGGCTGAGGAAGAAGGGGTTGCTGCTGGAAATTTCAAGAGCAAGCTCCAGGGAAATCCCCCCGTCTATTTATCTGCTTCCACGCTGTCATCGTGAACTCGAGACCAGTCCTAAAAAGTCATGGTATGGTGGGATGGCAGTCCCTATATTGTGGAGGGAAGCGAGAAAAAATGTGTCACGGCGTCTGGGGATGGGCAGGCAGACACTTTCACCTGCCATGAAGGGCAAAGAGGACTGTGCGGACCCCCAAAGCCATACGAGAGATTAACAGTGTCCTGCTGCTAGTGCAGGGAAGCGGCTGTCAGGAACTGGCCCTGGGAAATCCCTCACTGGCCCTGTGGATCCTGGTTGCCGTACCATGGATTGCTCCGGTCAAGCAAAGCTGGCAGAAACAGTGCTACTGTAGCAGGTACTCTATGCCAACATGGGGCTGGCAGCAGTCCAGTAAAACTGTGATTATTTTCCCTTACAAGACGAGTCACCGAAGTGGGTGCTATTCGGATATCCACAGGTCTTCTTCGCACAGGCCGAATTCAACGACGAAACCTGGTACTCAGACCCGTCTGTGCGATTCGCAAATAATCTCACACGTGGAGAAGAGGTTGAGACGGTAGTAGATAGCATAGCTGGGTCATTGCTTTGTATCAACGCTGGGATGAGATCCCTATAGCCGATAGACTCTGTTTCATTTGTCGCCGATTGGCCTGTTCCCGGAAATAAGCATCTCCACGTGGGGTGCTGGCCTGGCAAACTTGTAGAACAAGACATCCACCCTTCCAATCACGGTCCCTGTGCCAGGGTGGTGTCTGATATGGTCTTTGTTTTCTGTACATCAACATCCAGTAGCGATTCTATCCACAATTCCTGTTTGGCTTCTTCCCGTGCAACTGGGCAATCGTAGAAAGTGTCATTGGAAGCACCCCGTGTTGCCTTCGCACAAATGTCAGATTTGCCATCCTGCCAATATACACTGGTTCATCCTCACTTCGCTTGGTGCTGACCCCATCACTGCGGGATTTTTGTGGCCCAAAGAAGTGCAGTTCCGTTTTATCTCTGGTCTGTGACCTCGTGGGAGAGGGCAAGCCGTGTTCGCGACCGACCGACGGGTGGGAACCAAATGAATCGCCCTGAATAATCCCGCATACTTGGGACCACGCGGGAGTGCCCACCAAGCCGGCACCACCTCAAGCTCGACTCGAATCGACTCGCCTCTGTTCCGTGGCAACAGCAAATTTTGGCTGCTTCTGTGTGTGTGTGACAAGCGGACTTTCTTTCTCCGGACTGTGACAAGTCTACAGCCCACTACCGGGGGTTGTTCTCAAGTGCGTGATTTTGTAGGGCTCGAAAATTTTCGAGTTGCTTGCTCTTGGCTTGTGTCCTATGGGAGGCATGCGTCTTCACTTTCGTGTCGAATACCTTTTACGTCTCGCGACTGTTGTCCCTCGGGCTTAGTACTCTTACTCCACTGGGATTCATGTTATGGTCGAATCTTTTGTCTGTAGCACTGTCTCTTTGAGTGAGGGTAGTAGCGGTAGTATGATATCAATGGTTCTACTTTTGTTGCGATCTTCGTCAGTCCAGTCTGGACACTGTGATAGCCCGTCCAAGGTAATGATACGCTGAGGTATATATGCTCCAAGAAATGCAAGTGTCTGTGGACTTTTCACCGCGCTGTTTCTCGTCCCCTCCTGAAGCTATGCATCCCAAATTCTAATCTAATCTTTAATGGGTTCTCTCCTTCACAAAGGTAATCTTTCTGGCCAACCAACACCCGAACGTAACACCGACCACCTCGCCCTGTACGTCCCGTTGAAATACAACTGTCCAGTTCCCCGGTGCTGGCGCATCGAGGCCTCGTGCGCATACGAGAAACCAGATGTCGTCTCCCAGGTATCGCATGAGCTCAGCGGGCCCGTGGCCGAGGAATCCCTTGAACGATCCGTACAGCATACCACCGGCTCCGCTGCATAGAAATATGGAGTCCATTTCCGCACCGTGGTATCGGCCGACATAGTCGCCCTTGGGCGCCTGTTGACCAGCAATGATCCGTTTAGCCTGGATGTGACGGTTGTCGAAATTACGGTGGAGTATGAGGATATCGGAACACAGCGTGGCAGTTGCCAGGTCCGACCGTGCCTCAAATTCCTCAGTGAGCTTCAGTGTCTCGTCATCACCCGTATACGTAACGATGACTTCTCCTGGTTCCCCTAGGCGAACTTCAACCACCAGTTGTGCCTCCGGGTCAAAGTAAAATCCCGCCCAGTTTGGGGCCGGCATGGAAAGCAGCCCATGCTGTGCAGGGAGACCAAGAGCTTGCTGAAGAATATGCCCAGCTACCTCTGCGGCATCTATCTCATGATTCAGCATAGCCACAACGGCAACTCGTTCTGTTGGTGCTTGGGTCCGGTGCAGGCGATATCCACGAATGGCCCCGCCATGGCCGATTGTCGTAGTCTGCCCGAACTTTATATGTTCCAAGCCATATCCATACCCGGCTGGTGTACCGTCATCGAATAACGGCTCTTTCGCGATCTCTCGATACACACTCTCCCGATCGGCCCATGCCTTGTCCAGATAACATTCGTACGCGATCATATCCTCCAGGCTGGCCACGACGCCGGCGTCACCGGACCATTGAGTTCGGTTGACGGCCGGTATATAGCCAAAAGTTTCGTTGCCTTCGTATCCCACACATGGCGGGGGCAACTTAGCGTTGTCTGCGCAGAGGGTTGCGGTTTTCATCCCAGCGGGCAAAAAGAGTCGTTTCGAGAGCAGTGCTCCAAGAGAAGTTCCACTAACGTGCTCGACAATGCGAGCAAGGATATGGAAGTTAAAATTACAGTAGGAGAACTGTGTGCCTGGTTGGAAATGGAGGGACTTGGTCCGGTCAAACGCTTTCTTGGCGTCTTCCGCGAGAGTGAAACCCCCTTCCGGTTGTGTGCCCCAGAACATCGACATGGCCCAATAGTCTCGAATTCCCGATTGATTGTTACAGAGGTGGTCGATTCGGAGACCGTTGTTGTCGATGAGCTCGGGAGAGACCAATTGGCGAAAAGCATCCGACAGTTGCTGAGGTATATCGCCTCGCTCCACCATGGCTGGTGTGGGGTTGCGCTCCAGATCCTTGAGGATCAAACACAACATCTGCTTCGTAATCGAGCAGATTCGCATAAATGTTGAAGCAGTCATGGGGATCCGTTTCCGCAAATCCGCATAACCCCAGGTATACTTTCCAGCCAGTTCACCATCCTTGATGATGGCGACCGCTCCACCAGGGCCTCGATAACGCGAAGGGACTGCTTCAAGTATAGCTTGCATGTTCGGGGACGTCACTGAAATCCTGTTCAGTATGGAAATGATACAATTCAATGGTAAGAAGAGCTTACTTGTAAAGGTTATGGTAAATCACACCACGCAGCTTGGAATCTGCAAAGCAGTAACCATACAGGTAGTTGTTGAGATCAAGTGCCTGCTCCTTGAGAGATGGACCAGAAGGGTATCGGGCACCCGTTTGGGAAACCGCCGGCTCTGGCCGCACCGCGCCCTTACCCAAACCGGCATGGCTATGCGGTTAGTCATCTACTTAACGATAAGAGAATCTTAGAGTGCAATTAACTATGGCCAATCTTGGGAGGCGATTGAAATCCGTAATTACTCAATATCAAGCTAGCATGGAAAGGTTATCGTGTATTCTAGAGGGTCCTGCAGCCGAACAACCTGTGTCATAACCATTCACTGTCTGGGGAGAACGCACCATTGAACTACGACCGCCTGAAAATGGTTTAACATACTCGCCGTTGAAGGAGAAATCAGGAAACATTCTTAATAGCAGCCAGGACGATGAAACAGCGACATCCACCTCACCATCGTACACGTGGTTCCACCGGGGCTCTGAGACATGAATAAACCACCAACAGCAGAACATCCCACCAAGCCTGTGTTGCTAGAAACATTAGTGCCCAGCTGGGCTGCTTCGAGCCGGTGAGCAGATATTTGTACCCCAGCCAAACCCCTATATGAGCCCCCGCTAGAACCAACTTCCCCACGGTGGATGCCCCGATGACGACTTTTCGTTGCATTCTTGGCCCGCCGGCTCCATCATATAGGATGAACAATAAATATCCGACCCAGAAGCCGAGCGAAATGGTGAGGCATAGGGATGCGAAATATGGGAGTAACGAAGGCGGCTCTGCTGGGGACTTGATGAAGTTGTTCAGACATTTTCATATCAATGGGGCGACAAACATACCAGCTCTGGGGGAGGTACATAGCTTCGGTAAGCCCAGACGGTGGAGATGATCGCCGTTGTCATGAATGTGAGCCCACTCAAGGTTTGGATGACGGGAGCCGCTGGAATGACGAGGGAGGTCCGTCGACGGGCAGAATGGCGTCTGACATGGGGACTGGCATCATGCTGAGTAGCAGAGGCATAAGATGGTAAGAGGGGCTCTGTTGACATGGCTGCTATCCGGACCGTTGGCCCGTCCGCATATAGTAAACAGAGCGGACGTTTGAGGAGCCGTGGATTCTCAGAAAGAGTGGGGGAGACCAAGTGGATATGCCCAGCGGCTGGCGATCCCATCACATGATGGACCGGTGTTTGCTGTGTTTGCAGAACACCAGCCAGTGTATTTATTTACATTAGGCATTATTTCGAGTAGTACATAACTACTTGTAGGTAGTCTGTACACAGTGAGATATATACCTCCTTACTCCCGGGCATGGTTGACTTCGTTCAACCACCATCCCAATTCCACTCCTAATCTCCCCTCCTGATCATACATGACGAGATGACCGGCTCCTTCGATGAGCACCACCTCTCTCGCATTCAAACTGGCTCTCAGTCTCTCTGCTGTCTGCACCGGGATCCATTGGTCTTCTGTACCCCAGATAATCCTGACCGGCATCACCTGGCCCACTTCGGAGTATCTCCCCTCGACTGCCTCTGTACTGCGACTGTTGGCTTGCGCCATTTGTCTAATGAAGCCTTTCCGGCCTTCCTCGTTAATGATCCACGGGCGCTTCAACATGTCCATCGTTTCTTTGCTCAACTCTGTATATGCTGCATTCCGGATATAGGCCTCAACCATTCCTTCGAACATCGGGCCTGTCAAACTGGTAAACGCCTCTTCATTTTCCGCCACTGATTTAAACAAAGGCTGTCCGAATGGCCCCAAAGCAACCACATTGATCAAACACAAACTGGCAAATTCGCAGGAATGGATGAGGTGCGCCCGTAAGCTCATCAGCCCCCCGTGATCATGGGCGACGACATGTGCCTTCTTATACCCCCGAGGCCAGTCCTTTGACCAGGAATGGTATAGAGCAGCAAATACCTCCGACTGCTGGGCGAGGTCTCCATCTAGGGCGACTTCTTTACTGATCAGTGCCTCTTTCCCTAAGAGAGGGATACCCAGTGGACTATCGCCGAATCCCGGATTGTCAAAGAGATAGACATGGAAATATCTGGCAAGGGAACGTGCAAAGACGTGCCAAACCCGCGAAGACCATGGGGTGCCATGCACGAAGATCAAAGGTGGCAGGGAAGCATCACCTAATGCGGTCCAACGCACAGCGTATTTGTGAGTAGTAGTATGGTAGTGAAATATTTGGGTGAGAGGGAAGTCAGCGGCAACTGCAGGGTCCATATTGCTACAATATTGACTCTTAAGATTTTAAATTGTGGTTGTAATGATAGTACTCTTGAAATTGCTTCCCCACCTATGGAGATGCCAACCCCGCTTCGACGTGATGCGACCGAGTGAGCTTAGCTCCATTTGTCATCCTTATCTTCCCCTCATCCCCACATCTTCTGGGAGTCATCGCATTTCTCAAATTTATCCCATTCCAATTTAGTTTCCTGGTCTGGGACTTCGTTGTCGCTATTTAAAATGTCATCATCAATTGAAAGCGACCGCGCTGCCTACCTTCTTGACGCGCAAAACAAAGCGGTGCAACTATTTGAGGAAATCGAACGAGACCTGATTCGACCGGGCGTGAGTGAAAAGACACTCAGCACTGAGATCCACGAGCTGGGAGCTAAACGCCATGGAGTCCGTACTCACTGGCATAAACGAGTGGTCCGCAGTGGACCAAACACCCTGAGTCCCTTTGCCGAGAACCCGCCCGATCGCATCATTCAGCCCGACGATATCCTGGTGGTGGACCTCGGCCCAGTCTTCGAAGAATGGGAAGCGGACTTCGGGCGCACATATGTTCTGGGAGATGACCCGGCGAAGCTGAAACTACGCGATGCGCTGGACCCCATATGGCACACGGTCAAGCGACGGTTTCGAGAGAACCCAGATATGACAGCGGAGGAATTGTACGCCATCGCCTGCCAAGAGGTTCAACAAGCGGGATGGGATTTCGGTGCTCCCATCGCAGGTCACCTGGTGGGTTCTTTCCCGCATGAGAGAATTCCGAATGATAAAATCAGTTTGTATATCGCACAAGGCAATGGGGATAAGATGATGGTCCCCGGTCGCGATGGGCACATGCGGCACTGGATCCTGGAGATCCACATTCACGATCGGGCGCGCGGATTCGGGGGGTTCTGCGAGCAGTTATTGACGGTGGATTGATGCGATGTGCTGGATGCGCCTATCATGCGGAGAAAACGTCAGCAGACAGGTCATGGATGCCTTGGAGGGCAAATGCCGTGATTATGGGGTCTTTCACACCATTAAACAAGAATTAGAGGATATAGGAACCAGAGTATAGAAGATTAGAGATATCAGGACTTCTGATCGCATTTATATATTCAGTCTTATTTAAATTGCATTATTACTAATGATGGTAATTGTATTCAATCAATATCCCTCCCCCATTATGAACTGAAAAGGGTAGTGATGTATTTCTCTTCGGTTGTGCATCATGATCGATCGACCGGCAACTCGTCATTCTATATACTACGTAACTATCTATCATTCACACAATTGAATACTATGTCCGCTGACAGACTTCCCAAGCTAATATTTCACATGCAACACCAGGGAATGTGGGCGGAATTTACAACTCCAATTTGCCAAGGTGTCTAGACATCCGCCCAGGTGCCAAGAGTGGATAGTATTCCGCCGGGCACCCAATCTCCGCCATCGATGCTCCCCAGTCCACAGTCCTGCCCAGAATCATATGCACTCAGGCTTGGTAATAGTACCTGGAGAGCTTTGAAGGTGCCCTACTTAAGGTATCTATTTATAATTACCTCTCTTGTCTTCTTGGCCATATTGGCATTGGCTCAAATTATTAAACCATATTAGTCTTGGCCAAATTATTGTTAGTAATGTGCATACCTTCCTTTTTCTGGGTTGGTTTGACCAGATCTTGCTTATCCTTCACACTACCATGATTGCCTGTAAGAAGTGGTGTCCACCTCGAATGGATTAATTCGATCAGGAGAACAGTCCGTGCGGCGAGGCACCGACTACACGTCAAAATTCGTACTCAATGTCCATTAGCCAAATCTGCATTTTGGGATTCTGGAGGCTTGGCAGAGTTTATTCTGTTGGGGTCACCCAAAGTACAGCAGCCAAGTTCTGCGGAGCGGGATGTTGGCACAGTCTCGGCGCCAATGCCTGCCCCTCCTGTTAAACTTTCCGCCAACCCTACGGGGCAATAGGTGAAGTTACTGGGGAGCTGGGGGCAAGGATGAGTCTGGGGCACCCAGATCCAGAGACTTACACGAGGTCGTTCCCAATCTCTTAAATAGCCTCTTCCCCCGCGCGGAAAGGTATCCCGCTGAGCTTTGCCATACGCACTTGATCCGTGTAACCTGCCGAGTACAGCATACCTGTCATCTCTAATGCCAGCCGAGAAGCAACATTCAACTTCCGACCGGGGCCCCGGGGTTATTCCGGGTCCATTGAGTGGACCAGCCCATGCTCTGACTTACAAGACTGTCATCAAGGAATTGGGTACAGCACTCGACGATGGCTTGTCTCCCGAAGAGGCGCGGCGTCGTCTGGACCAGTACGGTCCCAATAAGCTGGATGAAGGCGAAAGTGTTTCCATTGCAAGGATCCTCCTTCGCCAGGTGGCGAACGCCATGATGCTAGTTAAGCGGCCCACTCTCCATTTTGTGGCATGAAACACGTCTGAGATTCCGATATCTGATCCAATTCTTTGCTGCAGGTGTTGATTCTGGCCATGGCGGTCAGTTTCGGGATTCAGTCGTGGATTGAGGGTGGAGTGATCTGTGCTGTCATTGTCCTCAATATCGTCGTCGGGTTCTTTCAAGAGTACGCCGCGGAAAAGACTATGGAATCGCTTCATTCACTCTCGTCGCCGACCGGTACAGTCTCACGAGGGGGGCAGACCTTTTCGATTCCATCGCAGGAGATTGTTCCGGGTGACATGGTTGAGTTGAGGACTGGAGATACTGTTCCCGCGGATATACGGTTGGTCTTCTTTCATTATCTGCAATAGCCTGGACTGCAACGATACTAATTCGTCTCTGAACAGCCTAGTTGAAGCCGTCAATTTCGAGACCGATGAGGCCCTCCTGACTGGCGAATCACTCCCTGTTCAGAAAGAATGTGATTCCACTTTCAAGGAAGATACAGGCCCGGGCGACCGTCTTAACATCGCGTACAGCTCGAGCACCGTTACCCGCGGCCGTGCTCGTGGTGTAGTCATTGGCACAGGCATGTCCACCGAGATTGGTTCCATCGCCCTCGCCTTGCGCAATAGCAACACCAAGCGTCGTCCTGTCAAGCGTGGCCCTGACGGAGAAACCAAGAAACGCTGGTATCTCGAGGCATGGACTCTCACGGGAACGGATGCCGTCGGTCGCTTCCTTGGCATCAATATCGGGACGCCCTTGCAAAGGAAGCTATCTAAACTAGCCTGCTTACTGTTTGGCGTCGCGGTTATATTTGCCATTGTCTGCATGGCCGCAAACTATTTCAGCAGCAACAATGAAGTCATCATGTACGCGGTTGCGACCGGTATCAGTATGATTCCGGCGTGCTTGGTGGTTGTTCTCACCATCACCATGGCAGTCGGCACCAAGCGTATGGTGGAGCGGAATGTCATCGTTCGCAAACTCGACTCGCTGGAGGCCCTCGGTGCTGTTACTGATATTTGCTCGGATAAGACTGGTACGTTGACTCAGGGGAAGATGGTTGTCAAAAAGGCATGGATCCTATCTCGTGGAACATATTCTGTTGGCGCATCCAACGAGCCATTCAACCCTACCATTGGCGATTTGAGCTTTGCGCCCGTATCTCCTTTACAATTTGGTGAAGAGGATGAAGGTCTTCCGGGAGCGAATATTGAAGATCTAGTCTCAGACAATCGTCAACTCCAGGACTTTCTCAATGTTGCCGCGATGGCCAACCTCTCTCACGTGTTTGAATCTGGAAATGGTGAATGGAACGCACGAGGCGAGCCCACAGAGATTGCGATTCAGGTATTCGCATCCAGATTCAATTGGAACCGTGACCGTTGGACCAAAGGACAAGGCGCGTTGTGGCATCAGAAGGCCGAATTTCCCTTTGATTCTACAGTAAAGAAAATGTCAGTCATTTTCAGCAAGGTCGGATCAAAGGATGATCAAGACAACGCCACCATGGTCTTTACCAAAGGCGCTGTTGAGAGGATAGTCGACTCATGCACGTCTGTCATTTGGGATCAAGGTTCCTCCACACCGGTGCCTCTGACTAACGAACATCGCAACTTGATCTTCCAGAATATGGAGGAGCTAGCCAAGCTCGGACTGCGAGTACTAGCACTAGCTCAACGTCCATACACTGAACAGGCACGAGTACTAGAGGGTTCCGACCTGGAACGTGATACTATTGAGAAGGACTTGTGTTTTCTAGGCCTGATCGGGTTGTACGATCCGCCACGACCCGAGACGGCCGGCTCAATCCAGGCCTGCTATCGCGCCGGTATAGTTGTCCACATGGTCACTGGCGATCATCCAGGTACTGCAAAAGCAATCGCTCAACAAGTGGGGATTCTTCCATCGGATTTCAGCACCGTAGCTGCCGATGTCGCGGATGCGATGGTTATGACAGCAGGTCAGTTCGACAAGCTTTCAGATAAGCAGATTGATGCGTTGCCGACCCTTCCCTTGGTAATTGCTCGCTGCGCACCTCAGACCAAGGTGCGCATGATCAGCGCCCTCCATCGCCGCAATCGCTTCTCAGCCATGACCGGCGATGGTGTGAATGATTCGCCATCACTCAAGCATGCCGACGTGGGTATCGCAATGGGACAAGCGGGATCGGATGTCGCTAAAGACGCTTCAGATATCATTCTCACAGATGACAACTTTGCCTCCATTCTCAACGCCGTTGAAGAAGGTCGTCGTATCTTTGACAATATCCAGAAATTTGTGCTGCACTTGCTGGCTGAAAACATCGCTCAAGCCTGTACCCTTCTCATCGGACTGGCGTTCAAGGATGCCGATAATCAATCCGTCTTCCCCTTGGCTCCTGTTGAAATCCTCTGGATCATTATGATCACTTCAGGTATGCCCGATATGGGCCTGGGAATGGAGGTAGCCGCCCCTGATATTATGAACCGTCCCCCCCAGAGCAAGCAAGGTATCTTCACGTGGGAAGTTATTATCGACATCCTGGTTTATGGAATTTGGACCGCAGCGCTGTGTCTAGCAGCATTCTCTGTCCGCATGTGGGGATTTGGTGACGGCAATTTGGCCCGTGGGTGCAATCAGGAGTGGTCGGACCAGATCCAAGATTGCGAACTGGTGTTCAAAGCCCGTGCTACAACATTCGTCTGTCTGACGTGGTTCGCGCTCTTCCTGGCGTGGGAGATGATCGATATGCGACGGTCATTCTTCCGCATGCAGCCTGAATCTAAGAGGTACTTCACTCAGTGGATGTACGATGTTTGGCGGAACAAGTTTCTCTTCTGGTCTATCATGGCTGGGTGGATCACCATGTTCCCTATACTTTACATCCCTGGACTGAACGACGTCGTGTTCAAGCACAAACCCATCACATGGGAGTGGGGTATTGTGGGCGTCGAGGCGGTTCTTTTCTTCCTGGGTGTTGAATCATGGAAGTGGGCCAAACGAGTCTTCTTCCGTCGCAGAGACTGTAAGAATTTACAGTTGGCTTCAATGGAGAACATGCCGGGGCAACCCTAACGAGTGCTCTCCCCGGCCACAGATCACTTGGCTGGGGAGTAAACTCATATTGCTCCGGGGTGCGTCTCACGGAGCTAGGCGCTGCAAAATGCAGGGCTGGTATTACCTATGGTGGAGGAACGGGGTAAGTATAGATGGTATAGCGAAAGGGGGGCCTCTGCACCCAGCAGATGGTATACCCTAAAACGCTAGTTAGGAAGCAAGATGGCATTGGTAAGAGATTGGTTATAGTTGTTTTGGGGTGGGTAATTCTATATTAGGATAGTTCTTTAAAATAGAAAAGTTGACATTCAACCACACTGATATCTACAGTGGTAGCATCCTGCGATAAGCGGGGAAGCCCGTGATAAGAGCGATCGGCCATCCCCGCATTCCATCCCTGCAGTAACACCAGCTTCATTATTCCCTTCCCAACTCCAACAATCTTTCTCTCTTACGAGCAGATGCTTTAAACGTGAATCTCACGACTACTCACTATGTCTCCCCGCCCCGTCATCGCCATCGCCGGCCTAGCCTGCGAAACCTCCATGTTCACCCGCGCCCGCACACTCGCCCCCGCATTCCATCCCCGCCGCGGCCATGAAATCATCGACGAATACCCTTTTCTCAAACCTGGTACAGAGCTTGGAGA